CTTGGTAACTGTAGGCCAGAGGGGAGGCAGAACATGCCGGGACCGTAGCAGAGGAAAGCAGCTCAAGACTTGGCACCAGGAAGCAGAGACAGAGAGAGCTCTGCTCACCAGGGACAAAATATGAACCCCCAAGGCACACCCCAGTGACCTACTTCTTCCAGCCACACTCTACCTGCCTACAGTTACCACCCACTTAATTCATTCAAGTAGACGAATGCACTGATTAGATTAAGGCTATCATCACCCCATCACTTCACCTCTAAACTTTCTTGCATTGTCTCACACATGAGCTTTTGGGGGCCACCTCATATCTAAACCACAATACTTCTCAAGACCACAAGGGTTCTGGAAAATGAAAGAATTTACAAGATGGAATACAGCAAATGCATCCTCTGACTCAAACACGATTTGGTGATCCTAAAASTGCAGTGGGGGTCGGTCTCTGACARTGCAAMMCGGGCTTCCTGCTGRCTGACTGGTAGGTGGGTCTCACCAATGTGATGRGATGTGTGGTCATCAACAGGAGGCCAGCGAGTCTAGGCACCTGCTTGGACTTGGTTCCTATCTCCACCCACAACCTGGGGGACTTCAATCTCCATCCTCCCTTTTCTCTGTAGTCATTTCCACCTCTCAGCCACATCCGCCACGCACATCCCCCTCCACAACCTCACAAAGTCAGAGGAGAGGGAAGAAATGGGGGGGGGGGGCGGGGAGACAGGGAGGATGAGAGAGAAGGACCACCTCGGTACACAAATAGCTCAAATCCACGGTTCCCCGCTGCGAACTGTGAGACCAGGGGAAGGCTCATCTCCTTTTGGCTCACCCACCTCTGTCTCCTCTTTTAAATTAAATTCCTCTGTTTCTGAGATTCATCTTCATTCAAAAGAAAAGAAAGGACTTGGGTCTTTTAAGTGTTCTTTTTCATGAGGCTTTTCTGTACCTCCGCTTCCCTCTGTAGTCCTGGAGAGGCAGCAGGGGAGACCGGGGACGTGAAAGGAGGGTGAGGGCTGTCTGCAGGGCTGCCTGGTTAAGAAGTGGGCAGGCTGAAGACAGGGAGCGGGGAATGCCAGGCTGGCCCAGACGTCTTGTCAAAGAAAACCCATTTTCTGGTTGCAAAGCTAGGAACAGAAAAGTTAGGAAGAGGAGAAGCAGGTGACAGGTGAGGGAGATTCATTGGGGGGAAGACAGCCCTAGCTCAGATGGAGTCTCCACTGAACACTGGTTTTTCCCTTACAGATGGAAGCCTCCCTTCCCTCTCAGGTAGTGGGTGAAGAAGCATGTGGGGGCAGGCTGGGGAGTGAGCACACCATTGGAGACATTTCTAAACATTTTATTCAGAAGTCATTGGAATATGTTGGCAGTGGGTCGAGGGGGCACTGAGAACTCTTCAGCCCTCACAGAACTGAGCTGGGACCAGCAGGCACACCCTTAGCCATATAGGGATGTCAGAGCACACTGCCGCACAAGCCTCTCACTCTTCTCTGACCTTGGGCAAGGCTCACCATCACCAAATCTCTTTCTTTGTTTATTCTACCCTCAAGCACTTCCCAAGGTTACTGAAAGGGCCAGAGGAAATACATAGGAGGGAATGTCCAGGTGTACCGTGGTGCTCAGCCACAGCAAGATCCTATCCCTGAGAGGTTGCCATCTTCCTGCCCTGAGGACATTTTCCTTATGGGAGAAGTTCATGAGGAGTCCTTCCCCTTACTTTCCCTTTTCTCACCCCCTTTCAAAGTTGGAGGATGTTGCCAAGAAAAGGAGAGGACTGATTATTGGGGGAACAAGCCTGGATTGTAGCTGAGCCTTGTGACTCATGATGGAAATCCATTGTATCTATTTCCAGGGGGAAAAAAAAATCACACAGTTCCCAAACTGGCTGGGGATTGCAGGTTCAACGAAAGGGCACTGGCCTCAGGCCTTTGATATCCCAGGACTCATTTTCAGTAGTGGCTTCAGAATTTCTACATAGAAGAGGCTTGGAGGCTGTGTTGTATTTGAATGGTGAGGGCACGCAGCTAGAAGAACTTGATGTCCTCTTAGCAAAGCCAGCACCCTGGTTCACTTGAGTATGTTAATCAGCTTTCTGCTGCTCTGATAAAATACCTGAGGGAAAAACGTGAAAAAAAGGAAAGATTTGTTTGGGCTTACAGTTTCAGAGTTTTCAATCCTTGGGTGGCTGGCTCCATTGTCATGGGCCTGAAATGGGGCAGAACAACATGGCCCCAAGAGCATGGTGGAGCCAAGCTACTCACCTCATGGCTCCTAGGAAGCAGAGAGAGGGCCCAAGAATAAGCTAGATCTTTCCAGGGCACGCTGGCAGTGACCTACTTTCTTCAATTAGATTCTACTCCTACATTTTCTACCATCTCCCGGTAATCCACTTAGCTATGAATCCCTCCATGGATTCATCCACTGATGAGGTCAGAGCCCTCATAATTCCATCATTTTCCAAAAGCCACACCTCTGAATATTGCTGCACCGGGGAACCAAACCTTCAGCACAGGAAACTTTAGGGGACATTCTAGAATCCAAACTGTAAGATTATGTATATCAAAACTGGGGTGGAAATTAGTGGTGGTTATGGGGTACAAAAGTTAATGTTCTTTGCACTACCCTTGGGGGTGAAAGATAAAGATGTGGTGTTGATTGTCAGGGGCACGATTGATGATCTGGCCTGAGACTGGGGGTTTGCCAACCTAGAGTGGAATCGAATCTCCACCAGCAAATATTTGATTTCTCTTCTTAAAATAGCTCTAGTAGATGCAAGATTCTCTAACATTCTTTCTTAATTTATTCCCTGTCTTCTAAATGTTAGGATAGAAACTTGCAAAAATCTCTCCTTTAGAAACAAAAGTGCTAACTAAGTGATCTCAACATGTTTCCTCATGTCCCCTCATTTATTTGCTTTTCAAAGGCCAGAGAGAGGACACGGAACCTGGGCCACTTCTTTCTAGAGGCTTCTTCTTTACCTCTGGCAGTGTGGCAGAAGGGGAGGAGGATTGGACAGTATAAGGGAGGTATTCATATTTGTTGATTATCTAATCCTCTAGTCTGGCGGGTGCTTTATATAGGTTATTTTGCATAATGCGAATAATATTAAGACAGCATTAAATGACTCTGATTCGGAAAGATTACACATAATGTTATCATATAAAGAAGATTTCTCTGACATGGATGCCCAATAATATGGTTATTAAATAATCAGATGTCACAAACAGGATTTAAAACCACAGTTTATACAATTCCAAAATGTGTGCTCCTTCTTTGTGTATTCTCAAACCCAACTTGGAGAAGGTAGTGACTGACCTCCTTCCAAAGGTTGTATGTCTCTGGTAAGCAACGTATACATAAATATATTTATATATATTTGTCCAAAAATATATATAATGGAGAAACCCCTTTGAGACCATGCATCAAAATACCAGGGATGACTTAGTGTGTCCCCTCTGGTGGAAAAAGTAGTGTGCAAGGTATTTTGGTTGGTTGGAGTCAGTAGACATTTATAAGGCAAGTGTCTTGTGACACCCATACTTTTAAGAAATCAAAGCCCACTCAAGCTAGCTCCAAAGGTGGGGTGTGGGAGGGTAATTTTAATGGCAGATATTGTTTTTGAATCCAAGGGACACTGAACAATTAAAGCAAGAATCAGGGAAGTCTGAGGACTTGGAAGGATCGCAATGACCTTGTTGATTTGCCATTCACTCCTCTACTGACCATTCAGCCCCTCCCTATCATTTAGAGGAATAGTTTCCACATTGTAATGTGCTTAGGAATCACCCTGTGTTAAGCCAACATAATCATCAAATTGGAGGGGGGGGCAGGGGGGGGTGTATAGTCTAGTGGTTCACAAAGTATATCCAAGGAATATACTTGCACAGGCACATTTTGAGGTTCAAAAAGTACATCCAAGAAACATGCATAGGCACATTTTGAGAGTTTCATATATATATATAATATATATATATTATATGCCATATATATTATATATAATATACACACATATATAAAATTTCATATATATAATTTCATGTTTCTCATATATGTTTCACATTTGTAAATACATACATATATATATTTGTATATGTGTATGTATATGAAATTGACCTGCCCAAGAAATTGCTTGTTGATGAAGCCTCATGCTGGTCCTGTTCCTCTTCCTTTCTCTATTATGCTATTGCTGACATATAGTTAGGTCTAGGATGGTTGTGTCTATACTGAACATATGCAGATTTTCTTCCTCGTCATTACTCCCTAAACAATGCAATTACTTACATAGAATTTACAGTATATTAAATATTATAAGTAACCTAGAATTGATTTATGGTATACAGGTGATGTGTTATGTACAATTACTGTGTCATTTTATTTAAGGAATTGAGCATGCATGGATTTTAGTATTCACAGGGGGCCTGGAACAAGTCCCCTCAGACACTAAGGAACAACTGTACTTAACCATACATGGGAGGTAGCTGGAAGCATTTAAACATTCAGAAGTTTGAGCCCCAGCCCAGATCTGTTTCAAGATTGCTAGATCTGTGCTCCTATAGTATGTCCCCAGGTGATTTTTATTTATCCAACAAGAACACAGTCTGTGGGCTGTCCTTTGGGAAGCACCCCTCTAAATGGTACCAATTCAATGAATCAGAATTTATCTGTCACCTTAGGTAATCTTAACTTGCCTAACCTCCTATTCTCCAATTTCTTCTTCTGTAAACAGGGGTAACAACTGTCCCTACCTCATAGAATTGACATGGGATTAAATAAAATATTTCATGTGTGTAGAACAGTGTCTGGCTCATAATTACCAAGTAAATGTTAATTTGTTACTAATTATATAGTATTATAATTTTATCATCTATGTAATTAGTCTCTGTAAATAGTCTCTTGGTTATGGAGGTCAAACAGAATCCAATTGCTGTGCCAACTGCTTAACAAAAATACATGAAAGAAAGGGAAAAAATTCAAAGTTTATTAAACATTAAGAATAACAGAGAGAGAAAGATTTGGACTTAACAGCATACATACCACCAATATCATGATGTACAGTTAAACTAACCTCATGTTAACTTGTACCTGTTTAACAGATTCGATCTTTGTGGTGTTGCCAAAAAGATAATGGGTTATTGTTGTTTGGTAAGGTGCTCAAAAAATGTAAGATTTTATGTCTTGACTTATTCATATACACATGCACATTCACACACTCCCCTGCATACTCTTGACTTCCTGCAAAATGCACTGAATTTGGTCGCTAAATCCAATTCATCAGGACCTAAAATAAAGTTTTGCTCATTCTTAGAAACATTAATTTTAGGAACACCCCCAGGTGAACCTGGTCTTGCCCATGGGGAGTGCCAAGGAGCCCTCAGGAGGAAGTGGGTACATTGGGTGCAGAAGGTGTCTACCTTGTGAAGGGCATAACACATCTCAGGCACCTGTAGGGGACTGACCCCAGTATGCCAAGCAGGCTGCTGTGTTAGGATCTCACTAATTAACTGATAAAGTGTGATTTTTCCTAAAAGGAACATAAGGGGGAAATTTGATGAATTACTAGAAAATCCAAAGTCAACTTTGCATTTTACAGAACGTCTGTTGTTTCACTCCGAGGCAAAGCAGAGGGTACTGCTTAAAATTCTCCTTGATTCTTCTGACCCTAGACCTTTTGAATGTACAGTTAGAATTATGAGTTTCCAGACAAAATCAAGAGGGTTAGAAGGAACCTCTGGGTTAGATTATACAGCTTCTCACCAACTCAGTGCCAGAATCACATCCATACTCTCCTTCTCTTCAAACAAAAGGTTCTGGTTTGAGGGCTGACTCCATGGAGACCTGTGGTATTCAAAGACCAAGGCCTAGCACAATCTTACCTCATGTGATTTCTGAATGGTCCAAAGTGGCCACATTCTCAAGGTAGCAAGCAGCAGAGATAGGCTGATCATTTCTTTGCCTTTTTTTTTTTTTTTTTTGAAAATCTAATCAAAAGAAACAGTGAGGTGACCTTATCAGGAAGTTCTATGCCACTCATCCCAAATTGCATCTAAATAATGTTGGTATGATGTGACTTGTATTCATTTTTTAATGGCCAAATCATTAATCTCTGAAAGATGCTTAGGATGAAATGGTGAAAAATGACAACAAGACTCTCATAATAGCTGCAGTCTGCAAGTACTCACTTGACCCTGGATCCAAGTCACTCCTAGTCAGACCGTGGCTTCCCACTCTACTTAGCAAAAATTAGCTTATTTATTACTTAATTCCCCTGGACAGTCAGGCAGCCAGTCCATGAGTGTGTGTGTGTGTGTGTGTGTGTGTGTGTGTGTGTGTGTATGTGTGACAATGACCTGCATATAAGGCACCTGTACAGACTCCAAAGTGTTCAATTTTTTAAGACAAGGTAGGTTTCTGAAACCTCTCCTGGCACAAAAAAAGAATACATTTTGTTATGATTATTTTATTCATTCTGCAGAAAACATCTATGATGCTCATTTGATACAGTGTAATTCCAAGAAAGACCAGTGCTCAAATATGGTTTGTTTGTTTGTTTGTTTGTTTGTTTTCAGTTACCATGTGACACTTCCAAAATTGGGATGGTCCATAGCAAGGCCCTTCAACTTCTGCACTTAAAGGTGTCATTTGTCCTTCTTTGCTTTAATGACGACTATCATTTAAGGATTCTGCAGTTAGCCTCTTCGTCTGTAAAAAGGCCAACTCTATGTCCACTTGGGGCCCTTACTGAATTTCATATTCAGTAATTCTTAAGATTGCCAAAGGTTTTGTTGATTTTTATTCGTTATTTACCTAAATAGTGTATATTATTAGTTCCAATACTCCCCCATCCCCTGACATTCTCAGTGGCTTGGAACAAAACGGGTACTAGTAGAAATAGCCTACTGGCCACATTTCCAAAGTCCATGACACTAGAGAGGAGCAGTATGATGCATAGACAGGGGACCCGGCAGATCATTAAAGAATGAAGATGCTGTGGAGGCAGGAAAATAGAAAACTCCCGTGGATGAAAGGGGATTTTAATCTAGCACAAAATGTTTCTTTGCAGTAACAGCAGAATCTCTTGACAATTATACAACTTAGTGAAACAGAAGAACAATCATCTTTAAAGTCAAAACATCTATCAGAGCATAAGCCATACACATAGCACCGATGTCAACCTTACACGGCGTGAGATGCACAGGCCGGAAGAGGAGAAAACAAAATCATTTGGGGCACTGGCAGCAATGCTCCGTTCCAGGAACTCAGAATTTTGAAGTGAACATTTTTGTGGCAGATGCTTTTCCTAAAAAACACTGTATCATCCAATAAATATTTGACTAAAATCCATTTTGTGCTTTTGGGTGATGTTAACTGACTTCTTTCTGAGACCTAATAAGAAACAAGAAAGCATCGGAGCAGGATTTGTCACGGCGAGCCTCGATTCTGTCATAAAATTTTAATTGAAAGCAGAAAACATGCTGATGTGTCAATAATAGGCTTAAAATATTAAAGACTTCAAAAACCCCAAAGCGCTTCTTCTCTATACAGCATCGGTGAATATATATCTTTGCTATATAATTTTAAAACAAGGAATACTTTTCTCTTTTCTATATATAATATATGTCTTCCAAAATACATTGTCAGTATTTATATCTGAAAAATACTGTACAAAAAAAGAACTTCCTATAATTACTCTGTATAAACATTAAACAATTTAATAGTCTCTCCTTTTGGTCTGCAGTAAACATTTAAATCAATTGGATGAACCACAGTTTGCAACACCATCCCCTTCTGAGATACGCCAGTGTCTTTTACATTCATTTTTCAGAAGTCCACTTTATAAGAGCACATCCGTTCAAAAGCAAACAGAGAATAAGAAACGAAAGCTCCAGAATCCTTAACTGATGAGGCATTCAGAAATGATACCACGAGGATAGAGGGTCTTACAAAACATCAACTTATTAACTGAATCAACTGATTTTTAAAAACAGCAAAATAGAATTCACAAAAATATATATATATATATATTACCAAAAAAAATGGAAAAACTGAATCTTAAGTAATTGTTTTTGACTATCGAGAGGGATATGGAAAAAGTTAACTAGAAAAGTGAGAGTGGGGTGAGCGCGGGGGAAGGGAGACAATGAAACCAAGGTCAATGCCACAGGCTAGTCCAAGAAGCATTTTTGGCTCATGTACTGATCCATCTAACCCCTCATTCATAGACCTCCCGTTACCCTCTGCTTCCCTGTCCTGGGGATGTTCTGGTCATGCTCAAATGCATTGTTTTAATTTTTGTTTTTTTTTTTTAAAAGACAGTGAAAAAATCTTAGGTAGGGAACATATCCTACGTCCACTAGTAATACTCAGGCAGCATGCTCTAGCGTACAATAGGATTATTGCTTTAGGTACAGACAGTGCAAAAACACACTCTGTGTTCTATAATAGTACTCTTACTTATCTGGGGGCCGGTAGAATGAAAAGGAAACTTAGTAAATAGCAATAAGTAAATATGGGATCTAACAAATCTAAACAGCACTTTAAATTTGAAGATGATTATCACCAAAACTGGGGGTGGGGTGGGATGGGGCGGGAAATGAAAGCAACCTATAAAGGAACAGAGCTGCGTGTGTAGTGCTAAGTTACTGTGTGCACCGTTATCAGCATGGCGACTTACGGATTCAACAAAAACAAGAGTTTGTACTCTTGAGAACTGAGACCCACTGTTTTACCAGGGCTCTTCTTAAGTGAATCCAAGTGGAGTCCTGGAAGAGTAGGTAAGCCGGAAATGTGAAGCCACAAGGATAGGGCAGAAGTGGAAAAGGGAGTGGGGAGGGAAACCCACAAGAGGTCTCCAGAGTCTAGTCAAAACATGGCACCTTTCTTTGTTCAAACTAAAAGACGATGAGAGGGCCATCTTCAAATGGCAAGTGCAAAGGAACACACACACACACACACACACACACACACACACACGGTGGACCACACTCATGAGCACAAGCACATGGGCACGCCTATGCCCACGTGCACACACACACACACACACACACTCACACACGTATGCACACCAAAATGTGAGTCAGTTGTGTTTATGCCTCTGGTAAAGTGCTGATGTCAGAAAGGTTGGTTTGGGTGTGGTGCTATCAGACAGGAAACAAGCTGTCCATCTAGTCAAAAGCCAGCCCGCAAAAATGCCATGCTACAGGGGCCCGTGCCTGGCCTCGTACTTGGCAAGTATGTTCTTGCATTTGCCCAGCTCCTTCCTCAAGTCAGCCACCTCCTGGCGGAGGGCCGAGTTCTCCTTCTCCAGGAACGAAGCCCGGATGGCAATCTGGTTCTCCTTCAGCCGCCGGGCGTCGCGGGAGCGCTTGGCAGCCATGTTGTTCTTTCTGCGCCTTGCCCAGTACTTGTCATCCTGCTCATTAGTGACAGAAGGAAAAAGAAACAAGATATTAGATTTCAGCAATGCAGCGCCTCGGCCAGGGGGCTGGCAGCCTCTAGGGTTGTGCGGAGACACCAGCCCAGGTGCTTAACTTGGGCCTCCTTCTTTGGCACTTTCTGCGCATGGGAGAGAGCGGCCCACGGGCCATGGCTTCCTTCCTGGAGCAGGGACCAACTTGTCACAACAGGCTCCGATGCTCTTTGCCCAACAGAGCATGTGCTCAGTGAGGGAGACATCAGAGCTGGAATGAAAGCAAGTGACTTGCCTCTCACCCTGAACGACATTCCAATCTTCTTGCCTCTCTTGGCTGAAATTTTTAAGAACTTTTTTTTTTTTCCCTTCCATGTGTACTCCTATGCTTATTTATTTATTTATTGCAGTAAATTCATATAATATTTTTTGGAAGGCAATTTAGCAACATGTCTCAACCATTTCGTGCATTTACTATCCATCTAGCAATTCTGCTTCTAGGATTCCATTCTGCTGCAATGACCATGCTTGTGCACAGAGAGAGACACAGGCCCAGAATTGTTATTGTAGCATTGTCTGTAAAGGAAAAAAATGGGGGAAAAATAATTATCTGTAGGAGATTTACTACATTAGGATAGTCACGGCGACACTCTATAGCTGTTAAAAAATAATAATCCACTGAACCCAAAAGATGTTCATGATATACTACAGTGTGGGTGGAACCAAGGACAACCTGCTGATAAATATGTGTGACTTCATTTTGGCTTGATTAAAAAAGTGTAACATAATATATTCGTAGAAAGAGGCTTAGAAGGATTTATACCAAGCTACAAAAGTGGTACCTCTAAAAAGTGACTGTAGAGAGAGACAAAGGAGACAAGTGGGGTCTTTAACCTTTTATGTCTTTCTGAACTAAAAGAATATTATATAATGGGCATGTACACTCTGGTGGTTGAAAATGGAAATTTTTTTTAAAAGTGCTTTGTCCTGCCACTAACCAATGTACTCACATCAGTGGCTAACATTTAAATAACTTACTCTAGTTTTCTATTTAGCTGTTCCCCAGGCCCCAGCCAGCCTGGGTAGAATTCAGTTGGTCAGTGTGAAAGCAGACCCTCCTTTTCCCCTTAACAAAAGAAAGGGAAAGCGTCTTAGGGAGACTAAGAACTGTGAGTCTTCTTTTAGACCTTCCCAGTTCGTTGATAGTGCCACCTGTCAATTTTGCAAGTGTCTTTGCCTAACAACTGGCAATAGCAAAACCCCTCCGTCTTACCTGTGCATGCCACCCAGAATATGTCGGTGAGGCCAGTCCTTACCCTCCCCCTGGATTCCAAGGGACAGCTGGCATTGGAAGAGGTCATTGGGATTGGGGAAAGGCTGCCAGGAAAGTCCAAGATCATGGTCTTTCCCCAGACCTACCTGTCACCCTTAGCACACATTCACACTACGCAGAGTAGGTGAGGTGGAAAGTGTGTCCTGTCTGCTGGTCACTGTCATCTTACTTATAAAGCACCCCCAGCTTTCCATACATTTTATAATAATGTATAATAGAGTGAAAAAAAATCTTTATGATAGGTGGTACCAGAATTCTTCAGAGGGAGGAGGCTGCCCACTGAAGAATACCTGATAAGTAAGCTTGGACGAGTGTGCTAGGGTTGTTGGTAGAACCTCTCATTTGTGCTTCTGAAAGGGAGTTGGAGGAGCTGGAAGAAAGGGAGAGAGACTGGGAGGAACTAGGAGAGCCAATGACATCAGGGGGGTGGAGGGTGCCCAAAGCATATTCACAACAGTGGGCTTCCAGTTCTGCTGGAGGATGTGTGTGTCACTTGGATGCAGGACCCCATTCCACCCCCTTTGTAGGTAAATCTACCACACTGGTCAGTGTGTCTGGGAGTGCAGCTTCCAAGGGCATTCCAAAGAGGAGCTGACTCAGGACAGATCAGAACCTACACACCAGGGAAGAGGAGCCCAGGAGGTGAGCGAGGACAGAACAAGCCCCCGGGAAATCATAGACAAGAGAGGGCTGGGGGGAGGTATTGCCATAGGCCATGGACTTGCTGGTCTGTGACAATCCTATCAGGTCTTAAGGACCAGGGAGTCAGTTGCTGAGCTCAGGGTAACAACCAGCCTCTCTGTCTCTACTTGGAGCTCGTCTGAAGTGCTTTCATTTCTAGCCTCACCAGTCCACACATGCAGATGAGCTGGCAAAGATGCAGAATGAAACATAAATGTCTCTGGGAGGGAAGTGAGGAATAGGGGGTGGAACAATGGATGCAGCAGGCAGAATGAAGAAGACCAAGCGTCCTGGCCTGGAAAAACCAGCTCGCCTCCCTTTATCGTCACAGGATAGTTGTGGGGAGGGGAAAGCAGGGTCTTGCTTAGGCCTGATATATCACCTGGCATGACATCCCCTGTGCCCTTCTCCCAACCTCCTAGATGCTGATGCCATCTAGATACTCAGTCATTTGCACCAGCAAAGACCCGCACAGCCATGATCCTTCTCATAGGTTAGCATTTTTTTTTCTTGTTTTTTGTTTTTACCAGACTAGAAATTTCATGAGGCCAGGAACAGTATCAGTACTGGCTGACATTGTTATCCTTGGTATCCCCGGCCCAAGACAGGGCTTGGCACACACTAGCATTTGAAAAATATTTGTCAAGTAAGTGAATGGACTGTTAAAATATTAAGAAATCAAGATGAATAGGCTGATGTTTCGGTTAGAAATCCCAGTAGGCCATTCCTTAATTCTCCCAGGGGGAGCGTGCTCAATTCTGGCAGTGAGGAGTGGGAAAGACCAGTTTGGGGTGGGCATCGGTTCACCACTCATCATCCCATGCTGGGGCTACGAACACCTCCCCCACCCACCCCAGCTCAGTCCTCTCTGCTGAAAGGAGAACATGTCACAATTCTTCCTGCTTCACGCCAGCACATGGTCTGTGGCTTCAGGCTTTATACACAATTGGAAAAAAAAAAAAAGAAAAGAAAAACCCAAGGGTACATGGCAAGAGCATGTTTCTGCCCATGAACAGGTCATGAAAAGGTCAGGCCTGGCTATGACAGTCGTCCCATGTATAATTCCAGTACAGTTTCACCTGGCCTCTTTGTTGCTAAGGTTAGCTGGATTATTAAGCAATCTTGCTCTTTGCTTTGAGGGTGTAAATTTGGAGACTCTATGAAAGTCTGGCTGAAAGTTCTATCTAGTATTCAGCGGCATCCTTTCAAACTACCTCCCAAAGGAGAGGAAATCCATATAGAACGGGCTCCCTGATTTAGGATACGGTATGAGGCTCTGAAACACACCTAGAATTGGATCACTAAGAACACAAGACCGTACCAGACATCCAACTTGTCCTGGATCTAATCCCACCACACCCTGGTCTCATCCCATCCAGCCTGACTAGTTTAGATTTTCTGACTTTTTAGCACACGCTTTCCTTTTTTAGATTCTCAGGGTAAGGGCCCTTGCTGTATCCCTTGTCAGGATAACATGCTGCAGTGACCTTTCTGGAAATGAGACAACCTGGGAGCTGGCCTTACTCTAAAAGTAGAGTTAACCTCAGTTCCCCTTTCTGCTTCTCCATTTCCTCAACTGCAAAGTGATAACTCTGGACTAATGGATCTCTAAGGTCCCTTTCAGCCCTGACATTTTCCCATTCTGCAGCAGTTAAGGTAATCTCAGATATGTGGGTGACAACAGTGAGTTAGATCTGCTGGGTACTTCTTCTTACTGTGTTCATCCTAGATTGAAAAAAGCAGCAGGAACTGGACTAAGTTGGGGACAATGTCCCCAACTCCCCCTTTCCTGGCCCAGGAAAGTCGACACATGAGCATACTTAGATTTGAGAAACGGGAGTCAGATGTTAGAAAAGAGCTAATTAAATATAGTTTCAGTGCCTTGAATATGTACCATCATATCTGCATTGTCCTCCTGATTAGAAAGAAGAATATATTCAAAACAGTTCTATGAAATGGCCAATTAAAAAATGGTTCCATGCCGGGCACAGTGGCGCACACCTATCATTCCAGCAACTCAGGAGGCTGAGACAGGAAGATTGTGAGTTCAAAGCCAGTCTCAGCAAAAGCAAGGCGCTAAGCGACTCAGTGAACCCCTGTTTCTAAATAAAATTTGAAATAGATCTGGGATGTGGTTCAGTGGTTGAATGCCCCTGAATTCCATACCAGATACAAAAAAAAAAAAAAAAAGTTATTTCATGTTGGTATTAGTAGACATGGCATGATTTTGGAAAGAACTCTCATCCTAAATTATGACTAAATATGTCAGATTGATTTTGTCTTACGTTGTATTCAATTTCCTAAGGTAAATCTATTTCCCCTTATAAATAATGTATACCATTGAAGATATCAGGGAAACCCAATCTAGAATTAGCCTTTTGTTGGGATGCTCAAGTGATCACCACTTGCAACTCAAAGTGAAGGTAACCTATAAACAGTATCAAGGAGTCTGCCAGCTTCATTCACATTATCACACCCTGGTCACCCCAGGTTGGCAACGTGAAGGGAAGTTCTATCTCTGGCTGTTCATTTGTGAGGCCTTCTGGGAAATGGTAATGGTTATCCACAAATTTGCAAACGGCAGATAACAGTTGGAGGACTTTGAGGTCCTGATATCCTTCCCAAGGTATTTTCTTTCTCTTTCCAACCTTGAAAGATTGGGGTTTTAAATATGGGATATTTCATAGCTTTTCTTTGCAGAAGGCAGCAGGTGTCTTTCCTTCCTAGACTTGACATCAATCTAACATCTTACTATTTCTCCTTATTTCTATTCAGTGTCAAGACATGAAATCATCTTTCAGAAGACACCCAGAGAGGAAGCCGTAGGCCAAGAAGCTACAAGCCACCAAACAAGATCAGAAACCCCGTGCCCTTCATTCATTGGCTTATGTGAGCTTCTTGGAGTCACCCCTTGCATTTGCCTCTCAATCCCACTCTCCATTTTCCCAAAGCCTGATTACCAGTTCCAATTTACCTTCAGATCATCAGGGATGAAGACTTTGCGGGCTTTCTTAATCATGGGCTGTGGCTTCAGTTCTTCCTCAGAGAACTTGCGTTTGCGAGGGTCAAACATTTCCTGGCCAGGGATGCTGGAGAGGGCAAGATCTGCTGGATCTGGCTCATAACCCACCGGGACCTGGATGGTGTCAGGATCAATGGGACTTGGTGTATTGCGGTTTGCTGGCAACAGCTGACCTGGAACAACACAGGAGTTTAAAATTCATGAACACTGCAGGGAGACCCAGCAGACCGCTACTTAATGATACACCAAGGTGAATGGCAAGAGTCTCCAACCTATATGTGACTCTGGTGTCATTTGTCTTATTCATCTTCACCATGTTTCTGAGAACCCAGCAGGATAAATGCAGACTTCACTCATGTCACATCAGGCAACACGAAGACACACAAACACGTGTTCACACACTGGGCAGGGCAGGGAGAAACTCAGTTTAAAAAACACACATTCTTTCTTTCCTATTGCACATTCACATAGCTATGCGTTAAATGGACTGCTGGCTGCGGTGGACAGAATAGCATGGTGTTTATCTTCAAGGTATCTTCCAGGTAGTCCTGGGGAAAGACCAGTAATTAGCCAGTTAAGATAGAGTGTAGGTGCTGGAATGGAAGTAAGTCTCCTGTGGTTCCAGAGTGTGGGAAATGGTAACATGACACCATAAGGGTTGGGGAGCTCACCATGGAAAGGATATTTGCCATAGCTGCATCTTGAGAGAGTGATTTGCAAAAAAAAATTATTTTTCAGGAAAAACTGATAAGGCAGGGGTTTGCATTTTTGAGGAACCACAGATGACCTCCGGAGCTGGAAGGCTGAATTCAAAGAAGAAATGGAGTTGGGAAAGCACACATGCAAGAGATGCGGCCACTAGCAAGGATGTTTTAAAAGGGCCTGAATGTCAGTGAAGAAGTCTGGGTTTGGTGAAAAGACTCAAAGAGTGTCATGAAGGAATTGAAGGGGGCACCCCTGGAGACAGATCAGATACAAGTCCACTGCAATAAACCATGCACCCATGGCAGTGGAGTCAGAGAGAAGGGGGCAAGTTCAAACATACTTAACAACTTAGAGAGGACGCAATGGAGACAATCTACCCTCCACTTGACGGTTGTACAGGCTAAACCACCGAAATGCACAAACATCCATAGAACAATGGGTTCATTGTATTCCTGAATATGTCTTACTGGTGAAAGTGAACTTAATAACAGACCAACATGTTTATGCTGGGAGCTCTGAATCTTAACTTCTAATTTCACCTGAATTTTACAATTGCTTCTTTCACACCCAGAAAATAAATGAGAGGACCCAGCATGGCTATTTGGCTCATCTCCTCTTCATCCTCACTGCCAATGGTAGGTCACTATGTGAAGCACCCTTTAGGTTTCATTAAAAGCTACCCCAGGTTGGAGCAGAAGCCATTGGCTTGCATTCTAGCAAAACCGTGAAACCATGCTTGTCTGTTTTTTTGGAAGGGCCTGGTAGGGAGCTTGCAAAATGAGTGCTCTGGGTGACCTTTCAGGTCCCCACTCTGCTTTGAGCTATTTGCAGCCTGCCTGCCAAAGAGGAAGAGATGGGCCCCGAGGCACTGGCAGGGGATGGGCATTTCTCATTAGCCAAGCTGCAGCTTAGCTCCAGCTTCTGGAGACTGCTGGGATCTGTGCTGGATGGTGTCAAGCTGGATTTGCTCTTGTGCTGCTTGACATTGCCTCAGAAAATGAACCAAACGGGGGTTTTATTTTCCTTAAAAAATTCTCTTTGAGCTTAACAACAGAACAACCTAACGCTCCCTCACTACGACCCTTACTACCACCCCACAGGCCAGCGCCTATCTAGGCCCTTCCCCTATCTTCTCAAGCATCTGTTAATACTTCCCAAATGCAACTGCTCCAAGTTACAACAAGATCCTCCTTTATACTTCAGTATCGTACTTTTCTGCTATATTAAATATTCTTAAGCTTCACACACACACACACACACACACACACACACACACCCATCCCACATGGTCTTTCATTTCATCTCCACCCAACTCCTTGCCATGACACCAATTCAATGTTCAGCTTCTACAAAGAGCATTCCTGGGTTTTTGGTGCTCTTCTGAGATGCTGAGCTATGGCAGTCATTCGTGGTCATTCTAACAGGGACTTTCCCATTTAGGTAGTTCCTTCTCAGTGTTCTTTCTTTTTCGAGCCCTTTCCTCCAGGGGAAGCAGGTCCTCCCTACCTGCAGAATGGAGAAAACCTGACTGGACCATAGCCCAAGTAAAAATGGCTTCCCCAGTGGCAAATAGCAGATGGCAAAGGACCATGAAACAAAGCCAAGGCCTTTCTCTCCCCCAGAGACTCTCCTGCCGTCTTATTTATCCATATTTTCCGTTGAATGACTTCTGCTGGACTCATTCCCCCCCTTTATTCCAAAATGTCAATAGTGTCATTGGGATGCAGGCAGAGGAGCTTTTGTTATTTTTTTCCCTACCTTTTGTGGATTTAAAGCATCCTCCTGTAAAAATTGTAGGTTTAAGAATGTATCAGTACATTAACTTTTTACACCGCCAAAAATATCTCCTGCAAAATTCCAAGTGCAGAAATGTATCCAGAGAGCTAAAGTCCTAGGTCTTACTATTCTCCTCTCTCCCAGTCCCTCTCACATCACTTCTCAGAGGTGACCACCCTCAACCACTTGGTTGTGAACCTCTCATGCCTTGGTTTCTTACACATAAGTGATTTAAGCCAAGTGGGATTATACGATCCACCTATCTTAAATTTCTTTTTCAATATACCAACATACCACTTGCAAGTTCCCACATCAGTACAAATAAACTACCTTGTTCTTTTTAAAGGCTGAACAAAATTAATATAGTTTGGGCATAAGAAATTACCTAAGCATTCCCCAACTGATAGATTTTTTTTTTAAGAGAGAGAGAGAGAGACAGAGTGAGAGAGAGAGAGAGAGAGAATTTTTTAAAATATTTATTTTTCAGTTTTTCGGCGGACACAACATCTTTGTTGGTATGTGGTGCTGAGGATTGAACCCGGGCCGCACGCATGCCAGACGAGCGCACTACCGCTTGAGCCACATCCCCAGCCCCTAGATTTTTAAATTATATATTTAACTGATATAATAGTATATATATTATATATATATATATATATATATATATATATATATATATAAAATATATAATAGACCTAATAGTTCCAACAGTTCTAGCTTCTCTTAGTTTTTTTTGGTGCATCATCAACTCTCCCTCTAAGAACAGTCGTGGCTTCTTCATGTTTGTAATTCCTACATTCCTTTATAAAATTTTCAATCTCACTGCATGAACGAGGCTCTGCAGGATCTGAGGAGTAAGAGGCCATGAGACCAGTGACCCCTGCCTGTCCCACACTCCAGTGGAAAATGCTTTAATGCTTCACACCCTGAAGTAGGAAGCTTTATTCTAGAATCCTAGTAGATACGGTTGGACAAGTTAAGGCATTCCACCCCTCCAGCCCTACTGTATTGGAATGATGTATTAAGTTTTCTCCAATGATTTCTTAGCATCCGTTAAGATAACCACGTGGCTTTTCTCCTGTTTGGGTGAAGTGTGAGCTTGGTGTTTTCCAGGGCTGTGTTGGAAAGATCCCCAGTGATACCCACAAGATCAACCCGGTTACACAGACTCTGCAGTTTATGGGACATTGTTTCCTTCTTCTAAAAGCATCTTGATGAAAGTCACTTCCAGAAGGACCAAGGAAGATTTCTGGAGGAAAGGGTGGAACAAAGAGCTTAAAGAAATCTGGACAGAGATTAGAACGCACCTTCAAACCCAGGGTTGGTCTCCACTTTTGTCACCAATGAGGTGTGACTAAAACCTCCAAAGAGTACAATGTGAAATAGGATGTTCCTCTTGCTTTCCTACATTAACAGGAACTTAGCAGCTCATGTTCAATTAGCTGATGAGGTAACAGTCATCAGTGAATGGGGACAGCAGGTTCTCAATGTTTTTTTGTTTGTTTGTTTGTTTAATTTATGACTGCATCAAAGTAATAAATTACAGTTGTATTCATTACTCAATCCTCAAGGCTAATTGCAACCCTTCTGATGTGCTCCTTATTCAGGCAGTTAAATAAACAAAGCATTAAATTTGCAGCAGTCACTTCAAAACACATACCATAGTCCAGGGTTTATCACTGATTAGCATTAATAGGCGGAACATGATCCTATCACAAAAGGCTGAGAGAAGAGAAAATTTTTTTGTTGTTTTTTTTTGGGGGGGGGCAGAGGTTTCCCTTTAGAATTGATGGGTGAAATTCCTGTGATTTAAAATTTGCTGCCAGATCATTCTCTCCTGCCCATCTCTCCCCTCCTCCCCACAATCAGTTTGGTTGGTGGCTTGTCATGATCTCCCAGACCACAGAAAATCATAAGGTGGGTTTGAAATAGCTTCTTTTACCCTCTCGGCATCCCCAGCTTTCAAAAGAAAACCACCATCAGGGCTCCTTGTCTGCTTCAGTATAAAATGTCCCTACCTCTGAAAACATCTTCAACAGACTAGGAACCGACAGGCACAGAGGTACACACCCGTAATCCCAGCAGCTTGGGAGGCTGAGGCAGGAGGATTACAAGTTCAAAGTAATCTTAGCAACTTAGCAAGACCCTGTCTTGAAATAAAAAATAACAAGGGTTGGTGATGTGGTTCAGTGGTTAAGCACCCCTGGGTCGAATCCCTGGTATCAAAAAAAAAAAAAAAAAAGACAAGAAGCTAATTAGCCTAGGAGACTAGGACTTAACAGAATCAATAAAGAATGCTCACATGTATACAGAGATTAATAAAATCTCATAAGAACATCCTAAGGAGGTTGGCTTTCTGGACTATGAGGGCAGATTCAGTGGTGTCTATTCCAATGGCGAGACCTGTTTGTAATCTCATACAACAAGCACTTTGCAAAGGTAGCTGTGTCCTTACGGCCAAAGGTCTCATCCACGTCCTATCCCCTGTGACCTTGCAATCTCAGGAAGAGCCTATCTCCCCATCCCTTGTATCTGGGCTGGCCAACAGAATGTAGCAGAAGTGACAGAAAGTCAGTCCCAAGGCTGGAACTAAAGAGCCTTCACACATTTCTGCCGATTCTCTGAAGTGTGTCTGTCACCACCATAAACCTGCCCCATCTCGCCTGCTGGAGGAGGTAGATGATGTGGAGTG